CCCGCTCGCCCCCCGCCCCTCGCCCCCAGCCCCCGCTCGCCCTGCAGTGCAGTTCTCCACCGACGGCCACTCCGCCGCCTTCGCCATCCGCATCCGGCACCCGCCCACGCCGCGCCTCTACGGCCCGGGCAGCGCCGGCGACAGCGACAGCGACAGTGACAGCGACAGCGACAGCGGCGGGGACGGGGGTGAGCACGGGGCTGCACCCCGAGAGCGGCCCGGCCCTGCCCCAGTGCCCCCAGTGCCCGGATCCCAGTGCCCCCAGTGCTCCCAGTGCCCCCAGTGCCCCCAGTGCCCCCAGTGCCCGGATCCCAGTGCCCGGATCCCAGTGCCCCCAGTGGGATCCCAGTACCCCCAGTGCCCCCAGTGCCTCCAGTGCTCCCAGTGCCCCCAGTGCCCCCAGTGCTCCCAGTGCCCGGATCCCAGTGCCCGGATCCCAGTGCCCCCAGTGCTCCCAGTTCCACAATCCCTGTGCCCCCAGAGCTAGAGTCCCAGTGCTCCCAGTGCCCCCAGTGCCCGGATCCCAGTGCCCCCAGTGCCTGACCCCCAGTACTTCCAGTGCTCCCAGTTCCCACAGTGCCAGACTCCCAGTGCTCCCAGTGTCCCCAGTGTTCCCATCCTTGCTCCTTGGGACAGTCCCAGTGACCTCCATGGGAGTGTTCAGTGCTCCCAGTGCTCCCAGTGCCAGGATCCCAGTGCTCCCAGATCTCCCAGTTCAGGCTCCCACCACTCCCACCACTCCCAGCGCTCCTACCACTCCCAGTTCAGGCTCCCAGTGCTCCCAGCACTCCCAGTCCGGGCTCCCAGCACTCCCAATTCACGCTCCCAGCGCTCCCAGCGCTCCCAGTTCACGCTCCCAGCACTCCCAGTGCTCCCAGTTCAGGCTCCCAGCACTCCCAGTCCGGGCTCCCAGCGCTCCCAGTTCAGGCTCCCAGCACTCCCAGTGCTCCCAGTTTAGGCTCCCAGCATTCCCAGCACTCCCAGTTCAGTCTCCCAGCACTCCCAGTTCAGGCTCCCAACGCTCCCAGTCCGGGCTCCCAGTGCTCCCAGCACTCCCAGTTCAGGCTCCCAGCACTCCCAGTGCTCCCAGTCCACGCTCCCAGTGCTCCCAGTTCAGGCTCCCAGCACTGCCTCTCCCCAGGGTACAACATCTCGGCGCTGGTGACCGTGGCCACCAAGACGTTCCTGCGCTACGACAAACTGCGGGGGCTCATCGCCAGCATCCGCCGCTTCTACCCCTCCGTCACCATCGTGGTGGCCGACGACAGCCAGCGCCCCGAGCCCCTGGCAGGGCCACACCTGGAGCACTACCTCATGCCCTTCGGCAAGGTGGGCACCGCGGGGCAGGGGACAGGGACACGGCAGGGACAGGGGACAGGGCAGGGACAGGGCAGGGACAGGGCAGGGACAGGGACAGGGCCGGGGACACTGCAGGGACAGGGGACAGGGCAGGGACAGGGATGGGACAGGGCAGGGACAGGGGACAGGGCAGGGGACGGGGACAGGGCAGGGACAGGGGACAGGGCAGGGAACAGGGCAGGGACAGGGCAGGGGACGGGGACAGGGCAGGGAGAGGGCAGGGACAGGGCAGGGACAGGGGGCAGGGCAGGGGACGGGGCAGGGACAGGGCAGGGACAGGGCAGGGACAGGGGACACGGCAGGGAACACTGCAGGGGACACAGCAGGGACAGGGGACACAGCAGGGGACATGGCAGGGGACAGGGGACACGGCAGGGACAGGGGACAGGGCAGGGACACAGCTGGGGACACGGCAGGGGACACAGGCAGGGACCCCCACAGGGACAGGGGATGGTGGCAGGGCTGTGGAGACCCCAGACAGGGACCCCTGCAAGGGACAGGGGATGGGCAGGGACCCTCACAGGGGACATGGCAGGGGACAAGGCAGGGGGGAAGGGACCCCAAACAGGGGACAGGGGATGGGCAGGGACCCCAGACAGGGGACTGGGGAGCATGGCAGGGGACACGGGAGGGTGGCAGGGGACATAGCAGGGGTCAGGGACCCCCACAGGCGATGGTGGCAGGGACCCCCACAGGGGACACGGCAGGGGGCAAGGACCCACACAGGCGAGAGGGGAGGGGGACAGGGACCCCAGGCAGGGGACACGGGATGGTGACAGGGCTGTGGGGTCCCCAAGGACACAGGATGGTGGCAGGGACCCCAGGCAGGGGACACGGGGACTGGCAGAGCCGTGTGGGGCACAGAGGGGCTGGCAGGAGCTGAGGTCCCCAAAAAGGAGGGGACGTGGAGGTCTGGGATGGCAGAGAGGGGACACTGAGGGGATGTGGCTGCCTGGGCGTGGCAGGGGGCTGGCAGGGTGGGGACCCCCAGGGAGGGGCAGGGCTGGCAGGGTGGGGGTCCCTGGGGATGGGGACAGTGGGGAAGGGGGACATGGGAACCCTGCCAGGGCAGGGACACCCCCAGGGAGAGGGGGGGACACGTGAGGGGCTGACAAAGTGACAGAACCTGGGGGCTCGTGGGGGTTGGCAGGGATTGAGGGGCACGGGGGACACGGGGGGAGCCAGCAGGTCCCTGTGGTCTGGGGGTGCCCCTGGTTCCCGTGCCCAGCCTGGACTGGTGCGGGGCACGGGGGGCTTTGGGGGGCACCAGCCGGGCACGCGGGGGGCAGGGACGGCCGGGGGAGGGCGGCCCCGGGCAGAAGCAGCCCGGAGCTGGCACAGGGCACACGGGCGGTCCGGGAATGGCGCTGCCGGTGCCCCGTGCCGGTGCCAGGGCTGCCCCGCTGACCCCCGTGCCCTGCAGTGTCCCCCGGTGGGCGGTGCTGGGGGTCCCGGGGGTCGCGGGTGGGTGGCACCCTGGGGACACCCCTGGGGACACCGGTGCGGCAGTTCCTGTGCCCAGGTGGGCGAGGCTGAGGGTCCCGGTGCCTGGACGGGGGCTCAGGGGGCCCCAGTGCCCGGACGGGGCGTCCTGGTGCCCGGGTGGGGGCTCTGGGGGGTCCCGGTGGGGGCTCAGGGGGTCCCAGTGCCCGGGTGCTGGCACAGTCCCAGCGCAGCAGCCCCATCCTACCGGTGGGCAATGCCAGGGGTCCCAGTCACTCCCGTGAGTCCCGGGCTGTCCCGGGCTGTCCCTGGCTGTCCCTGGGGGTCCCGGCGGTCCCTGGCTGTCCCTGGGGGTCCCGAGGTTCCCTGGGGGTCCCGGCGGTCCCTGGGGGTCCCTGGCTGTCCCTGGGGGTCCCGAGGGTCCCTGGGGGTCCCAGGCTGTCCCTGGCTGTCGGGGTGTCCCCAGGCCGTCCCTGGGGGTCGCAGGCTGTCCTTGGGGGTCCCTGGCTGTCCCTGGGGGTCCCTGGCTGTCCCTGAGGTTCCCTGGGGGTCCCAGGCTGTCCCTGGCTGTCCCAGGGGGTCCCGAGGTTCCCTGGGGGTCCCTGGCGGTCCCCGGGGGTCCCGGGCTGTCCCTGGGGGTCCCGAGGTTCCCTGGGGGTCCCTGGCTGTCCCTGGGGGTCCCGAGGGTCCCTGGGGGTCCCGGCAGTCCCTGGGGGTCCCTGGCTGTCCCTGGGGGTCCCGAGGGTCCATGGGGGTCCCAGGCTGTCCTTGGGGGTCCCTGGCGGTCCCCGGGGGTCCCGGGCTGTCCCTGGGGGTCCCTGGCGGTCCCGGGCTGTCCCCGGGGGTCCCGGCGCCCCCCCAGCGCGGCGCTGTGCCCGCAGGTGGGCGGCGCGGTGCGGGAGATCACCGGTTACACCACCACGTACCGGCAGCGGCTGAGCGTGCGCGGGGGCGGCGCGGGGGGCGACTGCCTGCGGACCCGGCCCGGCTTCCACCACCGCCTGGCCGGCTTCCCGGCCTGCGTGGTCACCGACGGCGTCGTCAACTTCTTCCTGGCGCGCACCGACAAGGTGCGCCAGGTGGGCTTCGACCCCCGCCTGCGCCGCGTGGCGCACCTCGGTGAGGAGCGGGGGGAAGGGGGTCTGGGGGTCCCGAGGGGTCTGGGGGTCCCGAGGGGTCTGGGGCGGGTTAAGGGGTTCCCGAGGGGTCTGGGGGGGTGGTCCTGAGGCATCTGGGGGGATTTGGGGCTCAGTCTAAGGGGGTCCCGAGGGGTCTGGGAGGTGTGAGATAAGGGGGTGCTGGGTTCCCCCAGTTCAGGGGGTCAGAGATAAGGGGGTGCTGGGGTCCCCCCCATAATGCAGGGGTCAGAGATAAAGGGGAACGATGCCAGGGTCCCCCACAATGGGGTCAGAGATAAGGGGGGATGCCAGGGTCCCCCACAATTCAGGGCGTCAGAGATAAGGGGGTGCTGGGGTCAGACATAAAGGGGAACACTGGGGGCTCCCCAGTTCAGGGGGTCAGAGACAAGGGGGGACACTGGGGTCCCCATAATGGGGTCAGAGACAATGGGGGATTTGTGTTCCCCCCACAATGGGGTCAGAGATAAGGGGGGACACTGGATTCTCCCCACAATGGGGTCAGAGACAAGGGGGACACTGGATTCTCCCCATAATGGGGTCAGAGATAAGGGGGACACTGGATTCTCCCCACAATGGGGTCAGAGACAAGGGGGACACTGGATTCCCCCCATAATGGGGTCAGAGACAAGGGGGACACTGGTTTCCCCCCCACATGGGCTCACGGGATCAGAGCCACCATGAACCACCCCACGGCACCTCTGATCCTCTTTTGGGGTCCCCGCAGAGTTCTTCATCGACGGGCTGGGCGTGCTGCACGTGGGCTCGTGCGAGGACGTGGTGGTGGACCACGCGTCCAAGCTGGCGCTGCCGTGGCGGCGCTCGGAGGGCGAGCGCCAGTACAACCGGTACCGGTACCCGGCGGCGCGCGACGACAGCCTGCGCCTCAAGCAGCGCCTCTTCTTCTTCAAGAACCGCTTCAAGTGCATGGCCGGCGACTAGGGGACACCGGGCGTGCCACCGGGCGTGCCACCGGGCGTGCCACCGGCCCCCGGAGCCGCGGGGCTGCGCGGATGGCACCCCCGGGGGCTGGCAGGGAGGTGGCACCGGGACAGCGGGCACGGGCAGCCTCGAGGGTCACTGCTGCCACCCACCCCCCTGCTGCCAGCCACCCCGACGGTGTCCCCTGAGCCACCGGCCGCGGCTGGGCCACCCCCGGGGCCACCGACCCTCCTGAGGGACACCCCCGGGGCCACCGACCCTCCTGAGGGACACCCCCGGGGCCACCAGCCCTCCTGAGGGCCATCCCACGGGCCACCATTCCTGGGGCACCCCAGGGGTGGCTGTCACTTGTGGGTCACCCCACGGGCCACCTCCAGGGCCACCAACCCCAGGACACCCCTGGGGTGGCTGTCCCTGCTGGGTCACTCTAGGGGTCACCATTCCAGGGCCACCAACCCCAGGACACCCCCGGGGTGGCTGTCCCTGCCGGGTCACCCCACGGGCCACCACCGCCGGCTGTCCCCGGGGTGTCCCCAGGCCCACGGCCGCTGGCGTGACACAGTGCCACCCCCCGGGTGGCCACTCCAGGGCCACTGCCACTATGGTCCCCCTCCCTCGGGCCACCCCGTGTGCCACCACCACCGGCCACCCGTGGGACACCCCCAGACCCCCCCCAGGGCCACTGCCATGGGCCACCACCCAGTGCCACCACCCCGGGCCGGCCGGGCCCGGGGGTCCCCGCAGCCCCCCGCCCCCCCGCGGTGTTTTTAGCTCTTTTGTACTTTGGGGGGGGTGGTGGCGGGGTCCCCCCGGGCACAGGGTCCCCCCCCCTGATGTCCCCACTCCGTTTTCTACCGCCCGGCCCCTCCCCCCGCTGCCGCCAGGATTTTTGTGCCAAGTCTCGGCCCCAGGGCAGGGACAGGGACAGAGACAAGGACAAGGACAGGAACACACCAGGGACAGGGACACACCAGGGACGGGGACAGGGACAGAGACACACCAGGGACACACCAGGGACAGGAACACACCAGGGACAGGGACAAGGACAGGAACACACCAGGGACAGGGACGGGGACAGGGACACTCCAGGGACAGGGACAGGGACACACCAGGGTCAGGGACACTCCAGGGACAGGGACACTCCAGGGACGTGGGGATTGGTGGCACATGGGACAGGACACGGGAAGGGACACGCCACGGTCATGGACATGCCAGGGCCAGAGCAGGACAGTGGGACACACAGGGGACAAGGAGAGAGCGCTGACAGGGACATGGCATGGTGCACAGGGACAGAGCAGGGACAAGGACAGGGACGGGACAGGGACAGACACTCCAGGAATGTGGAGACAGACACAGGGTGGGCAGGGACACTGCAGGGACAGGGACAGGGACATTCTAGGGACAAGGACATGCCAGGGACACAGCAGGGACGGGGACACTCCAGGACGCTGGCATGGGCACACCGGGGACAGGGACATGGCAGAGACAGGGACAGGGACTGGGACCCACAGCGGGCACGTGAAGGACAAGGACAAGGACACAGAATGGACATGAGGCTGGACACCCGGGGACAAGGACACCAGGGACAAGGACACCAGGGACAAGGACACAGCCCCTGAGGGACCAAGGCCACGGCAGGGCTGGTGTTGGGGTCCCTTCCTGGGAGGACAAGAGCCACGCCAGGGGACAGATGGGAGCAGGGTCCCACCCCAGGTCCCAGAGCCCCTGTCCCACCCCTGGTGGCTCCTGCCAGCGCAGTGACAAAGTGCCCAGGGTGCCCACGCCAGGGGACCCCACACAGCAACCCCCCAGGGTCCTGTGACACCCCCGAGTGACACCTGGGCCCCCTGCAGCCACTCCTGAGTGACCCCACGGGGCTGCCAAGGAGATGTCACTGTCCCCTCTCCCAAACTGTCCCTGGGGGCTCCTGGGACATCACCCCGTGTCCCCCTCGCCGTGTCCCATCCAGGCCATTGTAATGTCCCCATTCCATGTCCTATCCTGCCTTGTCCCACCCTGGTGTGCCAACCCCAGTGACCATCCTGGTGTCCCATCCCAATGTCCCAACACCAGTGACCTATCCCAGTGTCCCAATCCCTGGTGTCCCATCCCATCGTCCCAGTGACTATTTTGGTGCTGACCTCACCAGGGTCCCTATCCTGGTGTCCCACCCCTGTGTCCCATCTGGATGTCCCCATCCCGCTTTCCCAGGGCAGTGTCCCCACCCCAGTGTCCCCACCCCAGTGCCCCAGCCTCATGCCGCTGTCACGTCTCTGTGTCCCACCCCAGTGTCCCCAGCCAGGTGTCCCAGGCCAGGGCTCCCCCTGTGTCACCCCCAGAGCCCAGCGGGGCCGAGGCAGCCCCAGGAGCTCAGCACAGCCCAGCTTTGCACCCCGGGTTTTTATCCTATCCCAGTTCTGCACCCAGGCTGACCTTGGGCCCAGCTGGGCCAGGAAGGGACTGGGAGCGCCTGGGAGAAGGATCTGGGACATGGGGGACCCCATGGAGAGGGATTTGAGGGTGCTGGACACATCCTGGCCACACTGTCCCAACCCCAGTGTCCCAACCCCAGTGACCACCCTGGTGCTCACCGTCCCTGGTGTCCCATCCCATTTTCCCAGTGACCATCCTGGTCCTGACCACCCCAGTGACTCTATCCCAATGTTCCAATCCCAGTGTCCCAACCCCAGTGACCACCCTGGTGCTGACCACCCCAGTGTCTCTATCCCAGTCCCAATGTCCCAATGTCCCAGTGACCACCCTGGTGTCCCACCCCAGTGTCCCATCCTGGTGTCCCAACCCCAGTGACCATCCTGCTGCTGGACCACCCCAGTGTCTCTATCCCAGTCCCAATGTCCCAACTCCTGTGCCCCATCCCAACGTCCCAACCCCAGTGACCACCCTGGTGTCCCATCCCATTGTCCAAGTGACCACCCTGGTGCTGACCACCCCAGTGTCCCATCCCAATGTCCCATCCCAATGTCCCAACCCCAGTGACCACCCTGGTGTCCCATCCCTGGTGTCCCATCCCATTGTCCCAGTGACCACCCTGGTGCTGACCACCCCAGTGACCCATCCCAGTGTCCCATCCCGGTGTCCCAACCCCAGTGACCACCCCAGTGACCCATCCCAGTGTCCCATCCCGGTGTCCCAACCCCGGTGACCCATCCCAATGTCCCCAGCTGCTGACCCGGCCTGGCACCCCATGGCAATGTTGCACCCCACTGCAGGGAGAGCTCAGAGCCCCTGCAGGGCCTGAGGGGCTCCAGGAGAGCTGGGGAGGGGCTGGGGACAGGGATGGAGGGACAGGACACGGGGAACGGCTCCCAGTGCCAGGGGTGGGAGGCTGGGCAGGAATTCCTCCCCGGGAGGGTGGGCAGGCCCTGGGATGGATTTCCCAGAGCTGCCCCTGATCCCCGGCAGTGCCCAGCCAGGCTGGAGCAGCCTGGGGCAGCGGGAGGGGTCCCTGCCGTGCCAGGGGTGGCTCTGGGCGATCTTTGAGCTCCTTTTCCCCCCGAACCGCTCCGCGAGGCCACGCTCCCCCTCAGCGCCCCCACACCCCGCACTTCCGGACTCCATTTCCCGTCACACCCCGCGCCAGCACGGCCCCGCGTCCCCAGGGGACTCGGTTTCCCATGGTGCCTGGCGGCGGCGCGGCGGCGGCGCGGCGGTCACGTGACGCGGGGCGGTATAAAGGCGGCGGCGCAGCGGCCGCGGCCCCATTGTTGTCGGCGCGCGCGGCGGGGCGGGAGCGGCCCCGGACCCAGGGGATTGGGGGGCTGTGAGAAATGGAGGGACTGTGAGGGATGGGGGAGGTTCCAACGAATGGGGAGCTCTAGGGGATTGGGGAGCTGTGAAAGCTTTGGGGTTCCAAGGGATATGGGGGGTTCCAAGGAATGGTGGGGCTGTGCGGGATGGGGGGCTCTAGGGCATGGGGGAGGCTGTGAGGGATTTGGGGTTTCAAGGCATACGGGGGCTGTGAGAAATGGGGGG